TACATAGACACTCACCATATGATGTCCCAGGGACATACTCTACATTACATTACTGTACATAGACACTCACCATATGATGTCCCAAGGACAAACTCTACATTACTGTACACAGACACTCACCATATGATGTCCCAGGGACATACTCTACATTACATTACTGTACACAGACACTCACCATATGATGTCCCAGGGCCATAGTCATTGCCTGCATCTACCATCGCATTGCCCAGCTGTTCCTGGTGATTGTTTCTGTCTCGTTTCTTTTTGTCCAATTTTTCGTAAAAGAAATCTTCCATTCTTATATCTGAAACCAGAAATCAAACTGATACTTTCCTGGCTTTAAGGCATTCATTTGACATGGAAACAAAAGTGTTTATTTTTTCATAACATAATCATTTCATGATTAAGCTAACAGTGTTTTGCTTAGGTTGAAATTGTCAACAGTCATGATGTCAAATGTGAAAAGTGTCTACAGCACAACATAATGGTCAGTCTCTACAGCACAACATAATGGTCGACAGTACTAGTGTCTACAGCACAACAAAATGGTCAGTGTCTACAGCAAAACATAATGGTCAGTGTCAAAAGCACAACATAATGGTCAGTGTCTACAGCACACCATAATGGTCAGTGTCTACAGCACAACATAATGGTCAGTGTCTATAGCACAACATAACAATAAGTGTCTACAGCACATTCTAATGGTCAGTCACAGTCTACAGCACAACGTAATGGTCAGTGTCTACAGCACAACGTAATGGTCAGTGTCAAAGCATATTATAATGGTCAGTGTCTATAGCACAACATAACGGTCAGTGTCTGCAGCACAACATAATGGTCAGTGTCTACAGCACAACATAATGGTCAGTGTCTATAGCACAACACAATGGTCAGTGTCTACAGCACAACATAATGGTCAATGTCTACAGCACAACGTAATGGTCAGTGTCTAAAGCACATTATAATGGTCAGTGTCTATAGCACAATGTAACAGTCAGTGTCTACAGCACAACATAATGGTCAATGTCTACAGCACAACGTAATGGTCAGTCTCTAAAGCACATTATAATGGTCAGTGTCTATAGCACAATGTAACAGTCAGTGTCTACAGAACAACGTAATGGTCGGTGTCTACAGAACAACCTAATGGTCAGTGTCTACAGAACAATGTAATGGTCGGTGTCTACAGCACAACGTAATGGTCGGTGTCTACAGAACAATGTAATGGTCGGTGTCTACAGAACAATATAATGGTCAGTGTCTACAGAACAATGTAATGGTCAGTGTCAAAGCATATTATAATGGTCAGTGTCTACAGCACAACATAACGGTCAGTGTCTGCAGCACAACATAATGGTCGGTGTCTACAGCACAACATAATGGTCAGTATCTATAGCACAACACAATGGTCAGTGTCTAGAGCACAACATAATGGTCAATGTCTACAGCACAACGTAATAGTCAGTGTCTAAAGCACATTATAATGGTCAGTGTCTATAGCACAATGAAACAGTCAGTGTCTACAGCACAACAAAATGGTCTGTGCTTACAGCACAACATAATGGTCAGTGTCTACAGCACAACAGATCAAGGTAAAATGTAAAAGCAGTGTCTACGGCACAACGTAATGGTCGATGTCTACAGCAGAATTTAATGGTCAGTGTATACCGCACAATATAATGGTCAGTGTCTACAGAACAACGTAATGGTCGGTGTCTACAGAACAACGTAATGGTCGGTGTCTACAGAACAATGTAATGGTAGGTGTCTACAGCACAACGTGATGGTCAGTGTCTACAGCACAACGTAATGGTCAGTGTCTACAGAACAATGTAATGGTCGGTGTCTACAGAACAACGTAATGGTCAGTGTCTACAGAACAATATAATGGTCAGTGTCTACAGAACAATGTAATGGTAGGTGTCTACAGAACAACGTAATGGTCGGTGTCTACAGAACAATATAATGGTCAGTGTCTACAGAACAATATAATGGTCAGTGTCTACAGAACAATGTAATGGTCGGTGTCTACAGCACAACATACTGGTCAGTGTCAACATACAGCACAACGTAATGGTCAGTGTCTACAGAACAATGTAATGGTCAGTGTCTATACTACAGCACAACAGATTATGGTCAATGCACAATATAATGTCAATGTACCCATAATGGGTCACATTTTAGTGGAAGATTGATGTATTTTATACCACAATAGCAAATCCTAAAATGCTTGTTGTTTTTTCATATAAAGTATCGTCCACTTCTTGATTCTATGACTCTTGGGCCGCTTTCTCATAAGTCTCACATTTATACTGTTTTTGTATATAGCACAATATAATGGTAAAAGTGTATATAACAAACACAGTGTAATGGTAAAAGTGTATATAGCAGAATGTAATGGTAAAATTATATATAGCACAATGTAATGGTAAAAGTGTATATATAGCACAATATAATAGTTAAAGTGTATATAGCACAATGTAATGGTAAAAGTGTATATAGCACGTAATGGTCGGTGTCTACAGAACAACCTAATGGTCAGTGTCTACCGAACAATGTAATGGTCGGTGTCTACAGAACAATGTAATGGTCGGTGTCTACAGCACAACATACTGGTCAGTGTCAACATACAGCACAACGTAATGGTCAGAGTCTAAAGCACATTATAATGGTCAGTGTCTACAGAGCAATGTAATGTTCGGTGTCTACAGCACAACATACTGGTCAGTGTCAACATACAGCACAACGTAATGGTCGGTGTCTACAGCACAACGTAATGGTCAGTGTCTACCGAACAATGTAATGGTCGGTGTCTACAGAACAACCTAATGGTCAGTGTCTACCGAACAATGTAATGGTCGGTGTCTACAGCACAACGTAATGGTCGGTGTCTACAGCACAACGTAATGGTCGGTGTCTACAGCACAACAGATCATGGTAAAATGTAAAAGCAGTGTCTACGGCACAACGTAATGGTCGGTGTCTACAGCACAACGTAATGGTCGGTGTCTACAGCACAACGTAATGGTCGGTGTCTACAGAACAATGTAATGGTCGGTGTCTACAGAACAATATAATGGTCAGTGTCTATAGCACAACATAACAATAAGTGTCTACAGCACATTCTAATGGTCAGTCACAGTCTACAGCACAACGTAATGGTCGGTGTCTACAGCACAACATACTGGTCAGTGTCAACATACAGCACAACGTAATGGTCAGAGTCTAAAGCACATTATAATGGTCAGTGTCTACAGAACAATGTAATGGTAGGTGTCTACAGAACAATGTAATGGTAAAAGTGTATATAGCACAATGTAATGGTGAAAGTGTATATAGCACAATGCAATGGTGAAAGTGTAAATAGCACAATGGCAATTAAAAAATAAATCATGAACAGTGTCTTAAGGATAATGTTAAGGTAGAACTTAGTGTGAGAAACCTACAGGATAATGTAAACCTATGAGGCCTAAAATTGTGTGTTTCTGGTTTCTCTTACTACTGACACTATGTTTTGACAAATTAAACTATCCTACAGATTTTGAGCTAATTTCAGACGACAAGCAACAAGCAATCTATATAACCTGTAGATAGCTTCCATCCCGCCCAATTTTTTAGAGGCGAGACCAGAATTTGAGACCAGAATTTGTTAAGGTCTAAACATGTTGCAGTATACATGTACAATGTCTCAGGAACCTGTTAAAACATATCTTACATAGGACTTAATGCTAAAGGCTAATTACTTAAATCTATTTCATTGATTACCTCATCCAATATTTATAGACTATGTACAGCTTAAAGTGTACACGTCCATATACTTACTTGGGTTTGGCTGGAGAACAGCTTCGGTCTGTCGCAATACTCGTTCTGTCCATAATTTAGTTTTGTCAGCTCTCTGTAGAAGGTTTTCAAAGTGGGCATCTAATTCTGTTTTTTCTGCTGATCCCAATTTCTCTTCTGTAAACTGTAATTCAAGTGTTAAATATTAGATTAGAGAGGAATCAAGAAAATGTATATGAAATTGCTAATAATTACTGTATACCTGATCAGGTCAGACTTTTGCCATTTGTCCATGAAATCAATTAATTTTTGAGCTAATTTTGCCCGTCATATTTAATTACTGTTTATTATGCTGCTTACTTGTTTTTGCTGTAATGATAAATTCACCTTCATTACGAAGGATGAAAAAGGCAAAAAATTAACTGCATGCAGCTAAAATTTCCCAGTATTCGGTAAACACTAAAAATAATAATAAAATACAGTAGTAAATAAGATTAATCAACTGATCTAAAATTAAATCAATGAGCTGTCAGAAAAATTATTAAAGGAATTATCAGAAGCATTGTAAGAGGATATGCAGTTATAAATATGCATGTATATATGTATGCCTATATGTATGTCAGAGAAAAGTCTGTTCAACTAAGGAATAGTCAAAGAGATTTTGGAGGGTTTACGCGACAATACTGGTCAAGGAAGATATTGTTGGGTTTATCCAACAATACTGGTCAAGAAGATATTGTTGGGTTTATCCGACAATACTGGTCAAGGGAGATTTTGGTGGTTTATCCAACAATACTGGTCAAGGAAGATTTTGGTGGTTTATCCAACAATACTGGTCAAGGGAGATTTTGGTGGTTTTATCCAACAATACTGGTCAAGGGAGATTTTGTTGGGTTTATCCGACAATAATGGTCAAGGAAGATATTGTTGGGTTTATCCAACAATATATACTGGTCAAGGGAGATTTTGGAGGGTTTTTCAGACAATATATACTGGTCAAGGGAGATTTAGAAAGTAATGACAGGAATGGTCACAAAAGGTTTCGGCGGGTGTTGAGAGATGAAGGTAACAGCGTCGTCATGATCAGGAGATTTCAGGGCAGTGAGAAGCTGTTACGGGAATTGTTGTAGGAGTTGTAAGCTTATAATTTAGGAGTGTACTAGTTTATTATTAGTTAGCGGGAGTTTTCAGTGATGTTGTCCGTTGGTTGAGGAATTTCTGGAGGTTGTCCTGAAGGGATAGAGGAGCTGATTTTTGTCAATAAATTGTTGGAGGTGTTGTCAGTAACTGTCAGTGGAGTTGTTGGAGTTGTCATGTGATGTCAGTAACTGTCAGTGGAGTTGTCATGTGTTGTCAGTAACTTGGAGTTGTTGGAGTTGTCAGTAACTGTCAGTGGAGTTGTTGGAGTTGTCAGTTGCACTAGAAGTCAGGAAGTGTTATTGTAGGAATTTCTAAGGATTAGTTGGAGATGTCAGGAACTGCAACAGCTAGGGGATGTCAGATGGAGTTCTAGGTGTTGTCAGAGGATTCGATAAATTACTCATTTTTTGTTTCGGTAAATCAATTCTTTAATAAATATAGGTACACATCATAGCAAGTTATTATCTCCACATCACAATTGTACCATCATACTATAGTATATAACTATCAAAATACATTTGTATTCACTCATTATAACAGATCTGAAAGAAAACTTAATAGTATGTAAATGTTTGCCTTTGATGCTGCTGTAAAGAGTGAAACATACAAGCAGTGTTCACCTATTAAGACCCTGTCATTTATACTTGATGTAGATAAATCAATATCTCATGTTGTCAATGCTACCATTATATAGCATATGTGACATTCTGTGTTAAGTCAAGTACTTGTACAATTTGTGTGTGTAACACTGAAGATATCTATACACTATGTCTGCAACATGTACAGTATATAAATATACAGATCATATGTTAGGTACGAACAATAGAAAGTGATTACTGTCCCATTGCTTTCAAACAAAAATATCCAAATACTACAGATTTGAAATGCCAAGTGTTAATCATATGGGTGTTCAATTTCATTTCCAAAACACTATTACCCTCTGGCAGATTTTGATAAATAACACTATAGACTGATCTATATTTTCATAGTAAATACTGAAGATATTCACCAGCCCCGACCTAAACTCTACTAGCCCTTGGTGTAAGTGTAGTCGAGTTGTACAGACCCCACCTAAACTCTACTAGCCCTTGGTGTAAGCGTAGTTGAGTTGTACAGACCCCACCTAAACTCTACTAGCCCTTGGTATAAGCGAAGTTGAGTTGTACACCCCTGAAATAGTCTGATAGTTTTGCGGGTCAAATGTGTATGTACAGTATGTACACAAAAGAATGTACTTTAATTAATGTGATACTGAATAAGCACCCAATTTTTGATGGCAGCGTAGAGATTTCTCTTTGTTACACATGTTACAATAAAATGTTCACGCTTTACATTATATACACATTGATACTGTCCAAAAAATTTATTTTTAGCAGTTCATAAATAATATGTGTATTTAAAGTTTAGACAACACCAAGTTTAAAGTCCAGTTTTGTTAAAAAAATGTCATCTGTGCTTAAGTGTACCTGGTAAATAAGATTTTGCAATTGAAACAGAATGATACGATTCATTTCCTCTATGTTCATATAGCATGTAAATGTACTGCATATATCAGGAAAAATAAGGCTGTGTGCTGGAGTTAAATGGGGACTGCAGAAATCTTGGAAGGTGGTCATGGCCATGGTCAAATATAAATATATGTGTTAAGTCAGTGATGCATGTACCATTATACACAAGACCAGTTATTCTGTGTAAAATCTATGTATGTTTACATAAACGAGTATATATGTTGCCATGTAAATTTATTTTTATTCACAAGTTAAGTTATAACAATCAAATTATAATTATAAACTGCAACTATTTTCAAAAAGCAAATTTTCACCCTTTTGATAACCAGGTATATATATATGTCCCTCAAAATGATTTCAACCAATTATAAATGTGTTTTCCCATTGTTTTAAAACATGTATACAAGACTATACATGTGTTTAACATGCTACATACAATCACATCTATTTAATAATATATACACATAGATCATCATTATACTTCTGTGTTATATGCCTTCTTGCTCATGAGCAGGAGAATACAAATATAAAGAGACTTAAGTACTCCTTTACTGATCATATCTGAAATTTTTGTTGTTTCAAAATGACTAATGATAGTTTATTACAATCATGTACAGGGTGTTGACTAGTAGTAGTATATTATATACATGTAGCTCCCAATTGAAAATTTCAAAATTACAAAAGCATGATGATGATGATGATGAAGTGGTTAAAATAGTTTTTTCCAATCAATTACAATACGTGTATATGTAGGTAGGTATAGGTATCATGGTTTTGAAATAAAAGCAGGACTTTAAAAAACCCAATGACATGCCCCATTTTGATACTACATCTGTTTGAAAGTTTCCTACTTTTAAACAAAAGTTACCTTATTGAAGATTTGTTTTACGAAACTTGATCTATATACATGTACATACACCCATAACATCAGATACATGTATGACTCAATGCTTATATATAATAAGATTTAATCATAACATTGGCATTGATCAAATGGGGAAAACCCAGATTGCCGTAAGTCCTTACATATAAAACAATATCAAGACATTGCACCGACCGTAAACTCTAACTGGACACTTGTACAGGTTTAATGAATGTCATAACGAAAGCCCTAGATTCACATGCAATTGTAATTTGCCTCTTGATTACAGCATTTTTTCATGATGTCAAAATATGTTCAAGATCAAAGTAAACAAATACCAGCCAGCTGCTTTGTGAAATGGAAAATGGCAAACCACCCTAAATGTTGAAATGCACGCTTCCATCTTGGCCAATAAGAAAGGTTTAAGAAGAGCTGATTTTTTTTTTTTATAAAACAAATAATAGTATGAGGAAAAAATGTAAAAAAGCTAAAATCTTCTCTACATCTACTTTGGGTTTCTGTCATGGGAAACTTCTTCATGTCTACTCATTTGCAATCATGAATAGGAATAAGCATAAAAAATAAAATTATTTGTCCCAAAAATATGCTTTACATAAACCTTAACCCTGGGACAACTACTTACTTGGACACAGATATTCTTTGCCTAAAATCAACATTACAGTAAAAGGTAAATACAAATAAATATATTTAAATCCTACCATTTATTAAGCTTCATAGATATATGTTCTTCTAATATTCAACTTCTTTTACAGACATTTTTTATTTACAATGGCAACTATTTAACTGATATGATTAGTCAAGAGTCAAATTATGTTGGCGAGTCTGCATGCATGTTGGGGAACAAATCATGGTATTATCCGTTATGCAGAATCATGACAACTCAGTTAAGATGTTTACTCAGTATCTTTAAAGTCTCCCAACTGGATATAACACAGGTAAAAGGCTGGTGAATCATGACATACACTCTCTGACACAATCGTACGTGCATGCGGTCCTTAGAGAAAAGGAAAGCGATCTCGAGAGCCCGACTCAGGCTGACAGACTGTGAGGGGGCGTGAACGTTTTTGAGGGGATGTTGATGCTGAAATATTAATATATCTTCACATAAATATAAGAACATTATCATTTCAATACCTGCACTGCTCTGTTAAATAGTGTGCCTGCGTCTGCTGCAAACTTTTTCATCTTGAAGCGTTCAACGTTTTGCATCCATTAACCAGTCACTAAAAATCAATTTCCGACAGGCCAATCACTTCCGGGTTATCCGCACGGAATAAATATTATACAGGGAAAAATATCCCGAAAGTTTTATTAAATACAAACAACTGCCTTGATTTTGGTAACTTTGGAAGTTCATGCTTTGATGATAATTATATACCTTCATAAATTTAAAATATATGGTTTACCATTTGCTCCGAGCTTTCAAGTTGCCAAGATGTTGTTTCAAAATGGCGGCAATGATATGTGAGATTAGACTCATGCAGTGCAGTTAGGCTTGAAAAAGCCGTTTGCATTAAAAAAATACAAAAAATGGGATTTCAGTCGGATGAAGAATCATGTAAGATTATATTTCCTGATTCAGTTTTGATGACAGTGCTCAAAATTTAAGATAATTGAACAGCTAGGCCTATGGCGCTAGATTGTCTTTCAAGATTGTAAACATTGTCGGGTCCTCCTTAAAAGCGTCTTCAGCCGACAACAAGCGTCGTCAGACAAAATCTTTAAAAATACCGAATAAAGTAAGCGACATCAGAAGATATGTTGTTAATATGACTTTAATACACCTCTGTACCAAATTTCAGCTCTATATTCGATAAAATGACCGAGCAATCAGGTAATGATGAATTGAATTTTTACGATTACGGCGTGGCTCCTGTGTGTATTCGCATGTGAAGTGAAGAAAGCGTCGCCAGATAATATCGTTACAATTACTCGCTAAAGTAAGCGACATCAGAAGATATGTTATTAGTTAGACTTTTATTGATATATAATCCAAATTTCAGCTCGATATTTGAAAAAATGATCAAGTTATGATTAATTTATTATTACGATCGTCGGCGTGGCATACTTGTGTGATTAGAACTCTACAGATCGGAAAGCGTCTTCAGACTATATCTCTAAAATTAATCGATTTCAAGTAATCGACATCAGAAGATATGTTATTCATATAACTATGATACACCTTAATTTATACCAAACTGCAGGTAGATATTTAAATAAATGACTGAGTAATGATAAGTTTGATTATTACGATCGGCGGTGTGGCACATGTGTGTGAATAGAAATCTACAGATTGTGAAGCGTCTTCAAACTATATCTCTAAAATTAATCGATTAAGTAAGCGACATCAGAAGATATGTTATTCATAAAACTATGATACACCTTCAGGTAGATTTGTTGAAAAATGATTGAGTTATCGTGAATTTAATTTTACGATCTTACGAAGCTATACGCCATGTCACATATGTGTACGTAGGGTAGGGCTTCGCATAGGTGAACACAGTTAGAACGGATTATATTGTAGAACTCTCAGCCACACTCTTGAAACGGGCATGTTACCAGACCCTACGGACGTGGACGTGGTTCTACTCAGGGTATGTTATATGTTTGTGTGACTGATCGATTTAATGTTGATGTTTAAAAAAAATCCCCATAGTTTTAAATAAATACTTCACCAAATTTTAATTGTTATTTTTGTAAAGGCAAAGCTGAAAAATAAAATAGTTTTAAACTTCTAATGAAAGGACTAGCACACAGGTGTAAATACATTTTGTCTGTGTACGTAAGAATAACTGTTTCTCAAAAAAAGTCAAATGTTAAAAAATTTCACATCTTGAATCCCGTCCTGCGGGCACACATTAGTGTTGTGAAAGCGTAAAAAAGTTCTTCTTTTAGGGTAATTGTCAGCAGGTAACTAAGTTACAACTTTTGTTGTTTAACAGGACCGTGCGTTTCCGTGCGATTCGCACGAACACGTTTTCGCGTTCCTGGTTTTTTGGCGATTGCTGCGTTTTTAGGTATTGTTTACATACCCTTTGTAGATGTTAAAAAGTCTGTTTTCTTCCACACGTGCTTTAGGAACTTGTCAACTTTGCGCGCTTTATCAAATGTTGACAATTCCCGCCACACAACTGTGCTCAACTTGAAATGCTGCGCGTGCGCGGCCAATTCATAGTCTCCGGTACCATGCAACGATCTACATACGTCAGAGTACTGCAATTGTTGAATGGTATCCAAACGCTGAATCAGCTCGGGAACTTTTGATATTTTCCAGTCCCCTAGAAATTTGATGATGTGATTCATCGATTCGCAATTGTTGTTTTTCCAACCTTTTGGAATTGCAGCATTGCACAATCTAGATTCAATCACCCTGCGCTTAATCGTTGGCCACCATCTTTCTTAAAAAGTCCTGAGAAACTCATAAATTACGCATCCCCCTCCCATTATATTAGTTATAATAATAAAAAAATGATAATTAAACACATTGTTAAATGTATTCTTAATCGGTTACAGTTAAAATCTAAATTGTTCAATAAATACAATAATGTTATTCTTGACACAGCTGATTAAAGGTGTATCAATGTTTATATCGCAACAATTCTAACTGTGTTCACCTATGCCAGAGATGTATAACACATACACGTCTCTGCCTATGCGAAGCCCTACCCTACGTACACATATGTGGCACGGCGTATAGCTTAATATCTGTACATCGTATGAATTAAATTCACGGTAGCTCAATCATTTTTCAACAAATCAAATTAAAATTTGGTATATAGTTGTATCATTAGTCATATGAATAACATATCTCATGATGTCGCTTACTTTATCAATTATTTTAAGAGGTAAAGTCTGAAGACGCTTCTTGATCTGTACAGTTTTATTAACACACGTGTGCCAAGCCGACGATAGTAAAATAATAAATTCATGATAACTCGGTCTTTTTTTCATATATCTAAGTGAAATTTGGTTTAAAGGTGTATCATAGTTATATGAATAACATATCTTCTGATGTCGCTTACTTAATCGATTAATTTTAGAGATATAGTTTGAAGACGCTTCTTCATATGCTGAGTTCTATTCACACACGTATGCCACGCCGCCGATCGTAATAATAAATTAATCATAACACGATCATTTTTTCAAATATCGAGCTGAAATTTGGAATATATATCAATAAAAGTCTAACTAATAACATATCTTCTGATGTCGCTTACTTTAGCGAGTAATTGTAACGATATTATCTGGCGACGCTTTCTTCACTTTACATGCGAATACATGCACACATGTGCCACGCCGCAATCGTAAAAATACAATTCATCATAACTCGGTCATTTTATCAAATATCAAATTGAAATTTGGTACAGAGGTGTATTATAGTCATATTAACAACATATCTTCTGATGTCGCTTACTTTATTCAGTATTTTTAAAGATTTTGTCTGGCGACGCTTGTTGTCACTTGAAGACGCTTGTTGTCGGTTGAAGACGCTTTTAAGGAGGACCGACATTGTCTGATGACATTGTGGTGTTGAACAGTTCAAAACAAACAACGACACAGTCACACCTATAATCATCAGGAGATTTCTTAAACATGCATTTGTGTGCTCAGCTTGTAAAAGTAATAATAATGCAATTGTTTTGAACAAGTATTTTTCTCTGATATGGTTTCTGTCATTTGATATGATACATTATGGACGCGGGCTACAAGCCTCTTTATCCATATCAGTACATACAGCAAAATTTACATTAAACATACTTCAAGTGTCAATTGAACTAAAATTTGAAAGTTATATTTTCACATTTACAGTACTCATCTAAACCAATTTCAAACTGTATAACATTAGATGAATCGATGACATCCTGTGGATCAAGACTGTTCCATATATCAACAACACGGAAAGTAATGAAATTTTTCCTTATATCAAGGTGACAGTGTTTTTTTTAAAAAGTTTGTAAGAATGCCCTCTTGTTCTACTACTAATATCCCACTGAAACATGTTTTTAGTCACTCTAGGATCATAAAAGTTTTTCACAATCTTAAAGACGTTTATTAGGTCTTCTAGCATCCGACGGTTCTTTAAGGTTGGTAGATTTAATCACTGCAGACGCTCTGTATACGTCATATTACTAAATCCAGGTATAGTCTTAGTAGCTCGTCTTTGGACGTTTTCAACTAAATCAATATCCTTGCTCCTATATATATGCATGACTCCATACACTAGAGGCATATTCTAAGCGCCTTAAATAAAAGTTTGAACATATTTTCATCCAGATCAGTAAATTTTCTTCTAATAAGGCCAGCAATACTGTAAGCTTTGTTTACATTTAATTGAATATGTGTCCTAATTAAGTTTACATCTTCATCCACAGTTACACCGATATCTTTTTCACATGTTATGCTCTCTAGCTCTCTCTATATATATATTCTCTCTCCCGATGCTCTAAGCATATAGTATTTTCTATCTTGTTTGCTTTTAGATTTAATTGAAAGTACTTTGCGTTTGTTTGGATGGAATTTTAGAAGCCATTTCGCAGACTAATCCTGGAGTTTATTAAGATCTTTCTTCAGAGTCTCCATATCCAGATTGCTCTTTATTTTTCGTCTTTGACATGAGAATTTTCATTTATCCGTTGTTGCAGGTGAAAGAAAGTTATCATACATACGCTACTTTTAGGTTCCATTAGCAATCCACCCCAGTATAGCCTGAACTAATTGATTATCTCCCTGAAAAGAACATGATGGGGCTGGGGTCACCATACATATAGCTGTGATAACATAGCTTCTGGCGATGAGACAGTATTAGTACTAGGATCATCAGAGTGTCCTCCATAGAGTCTCTGTGAAAATTTTGTGTTCAGGGTTTGGTGTGCACCTCACTTATGTTTTCTTGTGTGCCAGAGCATGTCAGCATATATACTTTCAATACAAAAATGAAAGTGAAGATTACATTGTCTTTATTTCTCTCTGGTATTGCACTGATAAAAGTGCAGCACTATTTCAAGAATTAAAGCAATTTGGTAATGTCAATTCAAGAACAAATATAGTATACGTAATGTCTGGAATGATGGCATTTATTTATGGATTAACCCCGATATACAGCTGTAATACAACTGTTCATGAAGCTAACACAGATAGTGCTTTTTTTCGTTAATTAAGGATGAAACCATTATATCTCATTTTTGGAAGAAAATATACCATTTAGGAACGAAATTTTCAGGAGTAAACTGCAAAGTTTGGGAAATCCGGTATAAATATGAAGTTGTTTTAATTGGGAATGGGGCCCATTATCGGTCACAAAAAGTCATCATTAAAAAACACTGAAAGCTGTCGAGTGCAAAACCTGTAAGCCTCTGAACCTGTTTTGTACACTGCAAGTTTTGTGGGAGCTTTTAAAAATAATATTTTTATAATAACATTATGTAACTCATACAGTGCAGACTAAATGCTGAGTTGTTTTTGGATAGGTTTGTACAGTTGCTACAAAATTTGAATTGGGATCTAGATATGAATGTGCTATTGTATGATAGTTCCATTTAAGATGACACGAACATCTCAAAAAGGACAGAAGTACATGTCTCCTATTTTCACACCTGTCGTTTTAACCTCAAAACAGCATTTCAATCTATCATCTATCATAATTATTTAGTAGGCGGGGTTCCAATCACAACACAGCCCAGGCGTTACCAGTTAGTGGGGTTTTATTGGCCGGCTTGTTTCGTCTTCATCAGGACCTTTGAATGATTAATGGTTATTTGATCTCTAGCTTCCACTTGAATGTCAAAATACTGAAACTATTTTATATATGTTAGATATTTCTTTTTGACCTTCAGTCAGGCTTGTCGGCTTTGTGCCTAGCTGTCTTATATATCACAAAGAAATACATGTCATCTTTCTGGACATTTGAAGTATTTTACATTTTTAAAACATTTTTCTATGATTATATCTAGGGGATAATAAATGGTTACGCCATAAAGGTTAATTTTCTACTTTTTTTCCCATGAACTTGATCATAGGAATTATGATTAATGTTTTTTAAGTACGTTTTATGTGGACAGGGTATACATAGATATCTAAAGGAAGAAGTTGTTTGTACTCTGATGGATGTGTATGTGTGACTTTTTGAATTAAAAACATTTATCCTTTCTCTGTTGACTTGCAGATAAACGCTAAACTCTAAGTAAGAAAGATGATGAAATATAATTCACGGGGCCCACAAAGGGTTTACCATGAGGACGAAACTGCATGTGGTCCTCTTTGTCAGCATCCAGCATGTTGGCAGTCGACAAATCGACGTGTCAAAAATATCCCTCGCAGACTGGAGAAACTACCACCACCTGAGGATATTGAAACAGGTATAAATACTCCCATATACACTATCTATTGATGGTGCAGATAGGTTCTTAGAAGTCACATGAAGATTTTTTCAGCAGATAGGAATTCAGGTACTTACATCTATATATAATTTAAATAAGGCTGCATTGAATTACCTCTAGCGATTGAGATGTTATATGTTGTATGTTAAGGAGCTCAAAAAACACCTTCTGGGAATCAATCTATTGAATAACATGATTTTTTTTCTGTCAGAAAATAACGCTTCAGACGATAAAATGTTATATACAGATGGACAAACAATGCCATACTATACTTGCATGGCCAGGTATAACATTAGAAGAAATCTAATGACAATTTTATGATATATGTACATTTATTTTCAATTGAATAATAATGTAATTTTCAACCGAAATTCCAGATTTGCCAACAGTGAAGGTGTGTAACATGCTGTCAGACTATGGGGAGGATACAAGGGATCACTACCCCATGCATCATACCAACCAACCCAGCAACACCAGGGCTACTTCTGTACCCAACCTCCCCTCACAGTTGACCAAAACCAGGTACAGTTATCTCCCTTGTATAGATATTGCAGTACATTCTGTATATGCACAGTATCCAAAATCAGCCCGCATATTATTTTCTTACGATTTTCAGTTTAAAAACATCACCAAAAATAATAAGTGAAATTCCGCTTGGTACTGTTTTATTTGCTGAACCAGAAAAATGAGCAGGATAAAATCAAAGTAATTAAGATATGCCATTATTTACTTGCCAAAGTATTATATAAGTTACTTTAAGCGGATGTAAAACCTATCAATCAATCAATCAATCAAAGCCCAACTTTTAATCTGTTGTAAGTATTTAATGGTATTTGATAAGTCAATTGATAGATACATGCATGTTTTTGAATTGGTTTTGTGTAATTTCCTTTGTTAGTGATTTCTTTGATTTCTGATTGAATTTGCATGTTATTTCATTTCATCACTGCATGATGAACCAAATCATCAGAAATGAAACACTGACAATCATTATCATACGATAGACCTTTGTCATTTAAAGTCATATTTTGTCTGTTATATATTATTCTTGATTCTGTCATGATCAAACTTTTCTTTATAAACTTAGGTATCTTGTGTTATGTACATTTTGTATTATGAAACTTACTCTAGATCTGCTGCTGTACAGTCAAACTTTGATGAAATGAACTTCATTTCATTTGCCACCTCACTTCAACATATTTCAAGTTACCATTTTCCTTTGAAATTCCTGAAAATAGCTCTTGATATATGCTGTCAAACCCTGCAGTGCCATAATTTCACAAGAAAAGTGATGGCAGTATAGCAAAGTTTTACTGTACAGTGGACCTTTTTCATATAGATTTAAATTACACAATGCTGAAGATTTTCAAGTGAGAATTAATTATTTCTCTAATCCGATCGAATCATTATCTTGAAACCTGAAGTGTCCAATTTTAACTATTTATATAATTAATAGACCTCTGCAAATAATTTACATTCATATTTGATATTTTGTTCCAAAAGATTATTTCATTTATGATACTTTAATTGCTGTTAACATTATATTTTATAAGACAGGTATGTGAGCATTTAAACCCAAGGTCTCATTTAGTAATTGCATGCTTTCATTTGATTACCTTCCCTTTAGACCGTATCAGAGGTGAGGACTGGAGAACCGACGTGACACATTGCTATTGGGGTTCTCCGTCACTTCTATTTATTTCAATATTTTAATTGTATATGCATGAGCTGTTACTATATTGGACCACCTACTGAAGACAAGTTTCCTGGTTGCTTTATACAAGATGTAACTTCATGATGAAAAATAATGATAAATTCGTTTAATTCACATTTTCTTAAAATGCAAATAGTTTTGGGAATGTATGTGAAGTGGTACTTGTCTAACACTGGTTAATATAGAAATGTTTACCCCGGTAGTTACCTTTAAGGAAATTAAAATAAATTTTACTTTACATAACCTTAGTTTAAATACATGTACACAATGTGTGTACCTAGTAGTTGCACATTACCAGCATTTAATTGTCTTATTGCTGGAGTACAACAAAAAGTACATGTGGAATTGCCATTTGACTCCGTCCTGTATTTGTATTAGAATGTATTAGTTACGGAGAACCCCTGCTCTATGTTTTGCTGTGTGTGGTTTGATGTATTATGATGGTGGTGTTTTAGATTGTTGTAATCATGCAGTTTTAAAACCATTGTTATTGTGACAGTTGTATAATATTTTTGCCCCTGGTACAAAGCTTGATAAAGAAGGGGGTGGGGTGGGGAGCGTGTTTGTGTAATGTGTGTGTTGTGGTGTTCTAGATCTTTTTGGTCTGTCTGTGGAAATATTACTTATCATCCGAACACCTAGATCTTTTTGGTCTGTCTGTGGAAATATTACTTATCATCCGAACACCTAGATCTTTTTGGTCTGTCTGTGGAAATATTACTTATCATCCGAACACTTACTCCCTCAACCTGAACAAAGTTCCTTTAACCTTGACCATCACACACATACATCCATACACTTTTCATTAACAAACTGTTTTGCAGAAAACAAAATATATCTAGACCAACAACGTTGTTTTTCCCTATTACAGGCTAAACATGCTAGTTTGCTGTCTGCTATAACATATAGTATCATAAGTAGTATAGTTCAATAATTCGTGAGGGTGTATAACCCCAAACAAATAAACCATATTCAACAATTGTTTCATTAGATGAAATCAACATTTCATGAAATTGTTTTACTTCACATTTTCAAATCAAGAAAAAAGAGGGTAACTTTCAGGTAAGTTTCTTATTCCTGGTAAAAAAACAAATGGTTTGCACATAACCTTGAAGGATGACTTGTTTATATTTTCACATCACAATTGTATAAAATTATACCCAGAACATGCACTCTGGTGACAGGTAAATGGGTTTTATTATTGGTAGGCTATGTAATCACATGATTTATTTTAAAAACTCAACATTGCAATGTCATGAAAACATGGAAATGGGTTTATTTGATTTATTATAGATTCTTTTCTATTGTAGCATTTATATGGTTATAAGGTTAAATTGCACAGAATTTACACACTGATATTATTTTCACATATTTATACTGTATACACAGCTTACAAAGTTATAATATACATGTACAGATATTGTGCTTTACAGCTAGATGCCCCAGTGATTAAAAGAAGAAGGAAATATATTTATCAAACATCGAAAGGAAAAGAAAATTACAAAACAATATATTTTTTTGCAAAAAGTAAAATTGCAAAAGAATTTGACAATTTTACTTTATAGATCTTATTGCTGACCAAGAAAAGATGAAATGCACATATGTAAAACAATAATATATTCTTAAATCACAAAGCCTTTTGAGACATAACTGAACAAGATATTGATGTAAAATGTAATAGCAGCAGTCCCAGTGTTACTTGCCGATGGCCATGACTGACCACAATTATCTCTCCTGTTGTAGTACTGGCCATGACTGACCACAATTATCTCCCCTGTTATAGTGCTGGCCTGACTAACCACAATTATCTCCCCTGTTGTAGCACTGGCCTGACTGACCACAATTTTCTCCCCTGTTGTAGTACCGGCCTGACTGACCACAATTATCTCCCCTGTTGTAGTACTCGCCTGACCGACCACAATTATCTCCCCTGTTGTAGTACTGGCCTAACTGACCACAATTTTCTCCCCTGTTGTAAGACTGGCCTGACTGACCACAATTATCTCCCCTGTTGTAGTACTGGCCATGACTGACCACAAGTATCTCCCCTGTTGTAATACTGGCCCGACTGACCACAATTATCTCTCCTGTTGTAGTACTGGCCATGACTGACCACAAGTATCCCCCCTGTTGTAATACTGGCCCGACTGACCACAATTATCTCTCCTGTTGTAGTACTGGCCATGACTGACCACAAGTATCCCCCCTGTTGTAATACTGGCCCGACTGACCACACTTATCTCTCCTGTTGTAGTACTGGCCATGACTGACCACAATTATCTCCCCTGTTGTAGTTCTGGCCTAACTGACCACAATTTTCTCCCCTGTTGGAAGACTGGCCTGACTGACCACAATTATCTCCCCTGTTGTAGTATTGTCCTAACTGACCACAATTATCTCCCCTGTTGTAATACTGGCCTGACTGACCACAATTCTCTCCCCTGTTGTAGTACTGGCCTGACTGACCACAGTTATCTTCCCTGTTGTAGTACCGGCCTGACTGACCAAAATTATCTCTCCTGTTGTAGTACTGGCCATGACTGACCACAAGTATCCCCCCTGTTGTAATACTGGCCCGACTGACCACACTTATCTCTCCTGTTGTAGTACTGGCCATGACTGACCACAATTATCTCCCCTGTTGTAGCACTCGCCTGACCGACCACAATTATCTCCCCTGTTGTAGTACTAGCCATGACTGACCACAAGTATCTCCCCTGTTGTAATTCTGGCCCGACTGACCACAATTGTCTCTCCTGTTGTAGTACTGGCCATGACTGACCACAAGTATCCCCCCTGTTGTAATACTGGCCCGACTGACCAAAATTATCTCTCCTGTTGTAATACTGGCCTGACTGACCACAATTATCTCCCCTGTTGTAGTACTGGGCTGCGGCTGACAGCCCCTGCCAGCACCCCTGTGAACAACAATATGGAATCCCGTTCCAAGCAGCAGCTCAACCGTCGCAACCTCAAATTAGTGGAAGTCCAGGAGGTGTTTGACCTTGAGGATCTAAACAGTACCTGGGATGACACCTTTATTGCCAAACAGTATTATGTATGGGTCCCCAACCCCAAGGGCAAGACCCCTCGCAGTGAAAAGTCAGGCGATCATCAGTAAGTAGTGTTTGTCAAATCCTGAGTGAAAAAATGATATCTATAGGGCAATAAGTATGAAATAACTAATACCTGTGTCTTCATTGAAAGTAGGTTCTTATAAAGCCCTTTAAATTTTGTCATTAATCACTTAGGTAAAACTATATTAATTTGGATTATCGATCATTTTTCATTTGTAGATCCTCAATAAGCCAAATGAATGCCTCAAAGAAAGTTCTTGTAAAGGACATGACAGAGGACATGATCCCGCGCCATTATGAATACGAACGCTACATGCAGGCCAGATCTGTGAGTACACATCATTTGTTGTAATTACCACTATCCCTGAAGTATGAATACGTTTACTCATTTTGCTGTTGTATTGAATCAACCCTTGGCTAACTTGTGATGGGCAATTTTGAAAATATGAAATTTGGTACCAACTGCAGCAGTTTTACATGAATTATTAATATAATCCATGTTCAGTTTGAATATTCGTAATCATTCAAAATTAGACGACATCAAATTTGTTAGGATATACAGTCCACCATCCTACATCTAGTCTTCTTTGTTCAAGACTATCATAGCTAGATTATAAAACAACTGGATTACAAGGGCACTTACAAGATATTACTAATCTAAGTAATCCCTTGGCCTTATATTTATGTGCCAAAAGTTTGATTGATTCTCCTTACTATTTAACCCTTTCACCACTGTAGACCATAATGGACTCATCCAGATCAATGCATGGTAGAGTCTACAAAACTTACATAGGGGTGAAAGGGTTAACTAATTGAAAATATTTACATGTGAGAAATATATACTATGAGATAAAATGAATATCTGTAAGGTAAAATACCCTGTGATATAAAATTTATATAAATGAGATTTATAGGTATATATCCTGTGTTATAAAATAGATGTCTGTGAGCTATTAAGATATAGGTTTCTGAGATAAAATAGATATCTGAGAGATTATATAAATCAATGAGATTACATATGATATGAGATATATATCTTGTGAGAGAAAATATCTGAATGGGAATTAAAACATCTTACGAGGTAAAATCATGTTTATAAGATAAGATATATCATGTGAGATTAACAAGATTTCTATAGTGTGAGATATAAGCATTTGACAGTTCACCATTTTAGTTTTAATGGTGGGATATTCATCTGGACTTGGAATGGTTTTGGTGTTGTGGGGATTTTATCAGAATATAATTTTTGTGAGTCGTAGCCACAGATTTGTTGTTTTTAAAAATGACAGAAATAGAGTAGAATTTCAATATAGATTGAGTCCAAGTAAAACAAGAGGTGTCCAGAAGTTAAATTCTGTTTTGTTAAAGTCACTTCAGTTTGTTTGGCTCAGACTTACTTGCTGAACGTGTTTCTATAACTCTTGTACATGATTGATATTTGATTGTTTATGACATGTTGTTGCTTTCAGCCATCCATCCGGGTAATAAGTTACAGAGTATTCAGTCACCAATGTCACCTATTTATAACACCTATCGATTAGAGCACTTATAATTACTTACCTGATCATTAACCAGAAACTATTTGGTCATCTCGCCCAGAATATCGTTTCTAGTGTCTAAAAGCATGAGTCACTATCACAGCTTTCAGGTGGTGTTCAATTTTTTACAGTAGTTAAATTTTGTATCTTACATTTTCAGCACAAAATAAATGTCTTGCTCAGATGAATGTGTCGAGCTATGTTGATTTTCTATCATATTATTGTAAACAAGTAAACAAAACATTATACCTTTTTTAATAGATTTTGTTCAATCTTCAAATTATTTTTCATAGAAAAACAACAACAAAAAAAGAAATAAAAAATCAGGTATAAAAAGTCACATTTGTGTTAAGTGTTCTTTACAAAAGATCAAACTACAAAGAGTTATTGCCCTTATAGCACTCTTGGCTTACTAGGGTTTGAATGTTTTGTAGTCTGAATGTAAGCATATTGACATATTAAAATCTTAATATAAATATGTTGACATTCTAAAGTCTGAATGTAAACAGATTGACATATTAAAATCGTAATGTAAACATGTTCACATTCTAAAGTCTGAATGTAAACATATTGACATATTAAAATCTATTAATATCGTAATGTAAACATGTTCCCATTCTAAAGTCTAAGTGTAAGCTTTTTGAGATAATAAAGTATGAATGCTTTAAAACCTATAATAAAATAACCTGCATTTATCCCATAGCTCACAAACTTGTAAATCTTGTGAAACATAAACATGAAAAAAATACTAACGAAACACATCAACTATTAATGGCATTGAAGCTGTTTAAGTGCCCGGTGAGGTACTCTAACTATTCACCTTTTTTTTGTAAACAAAATTTTACATTGAATTTATTCCACAAAGTTACATTGAAAATAACATTGAATTGATTCATTAATGACATCATAGTTTAAAAATAAAATAAAATATCTTCTAATTCATTTAATTGTAAAAGTAATATTTTAGTAAAAGATATTTTAATAACATGAGATGTCACTAAATGTCTGAATTATTTATGTAGTTACTTTTAAGTATTTACCGATCCTTAGAACTTGATGTGCACAATTTACATTTGTTATACAGCCGGACAGTTTTAGATATGAGAAAACCAATTCTAGGTTAAAAGAGGTAATACTAGCTGATTTTGGAAGGGTGAAAGTAGATTGGTTATGGTAGACTTTAATGAGGAGTAGAGAATTTGTTAGGTGTGACTCTGAATACTAACTGTGAATCGGAAATTACTCAATACATTATGTCGCCTTCGAATTCCCTATCAAATAAGCCCTGTAGCTGTTAGCTATATCAGAAAAAGAATTATAGATTCCATCTTTATATATATATATAATTCCTTAATTTGACCCCATGAAATTTAATATTTTCCACAGGAATAATACTACATGTAGTATGAAATATTTAGTGTTTTGTAAAACAGGTTGTAAATCAGACAGCTGCTTCAATTAGTTAAAATATTCCAATTTTTTATTCAATTTCTGATCTGTAAAGGAGATAATCTGACTTTTCAAGAGAATGACTCTGTGTTCTGGTTTGATTGGCATTCTGTAAGCCAAAGTTACTTTCTTAAAATTTCATATCCAGGTAAAATGCCTGTCTCCTCTCCCTACCAACACCTGTAACATCTTCTGACTCTCCAGGAAACATGTTTGAATCACAAAATGTGACGAAACTCCACCTGGCCATTGTAATATTTAATAGTAATACGCTGTAACTCCACTTTAGCCTTTTGGATACATATTGTATTATAAGAAAATTGATATGTCATACATGTATTTATCCAAATTGAGTTTTCAAGATAAAATTTAAATGTCTAGACTTGTCACCTTAGTTTTGCATGGTAATTGTCTTTGGTCTTAATTCATGAGTTAGTTTTAGTACAAAATTCAAGGTCACCATGGCCTATTCAGTACACATTCTCCTTACTCAAATGCTGGGTTGTTCATATAGGGACTAATGTATTGTTTGTTGATCAGTTATTTACAACCCTATCAGTAGAACTTAGTCTAACATAGCAACAGTGTGACTTAATTCTTAAAGTGATAATACCATTACCGATTCTAAGTTTTTATGGTTGATCAATCTGAATAGTTAGATCTGCCATTCATCTTATTGGAATAACTTTCCTCCTTTATGTGCGTATACGTATAGACTAAAGGTTTGTAGTAACAATGGATTTGAAGTGATAGCATTAAATCATAGTCAAGTTGAAATAAATAAAAACACATTACAGTTTAATTTATCTAATACAATAACTAGGATTTGAACTAGGGTTCTTACATGTTGTTTTTCTCAGAAGAGTCTGCATTTTTTTTAATGTTAAGGAAACAATTTGTGAAAACACTCTAGTTTTTACCTTTGATGAATATTGCTGAGATGTAAGCTAAGGCATTTCACTTTTAAAGCTCATTTTTATTAAAATGTAATATATTGCTGAGATAAAAATTTAAGTTCACATTTCTGTAGTAGTTTAAGTAACATATTTAAGTCTCAAAACTATAAGCGATATTAGTTGTCTATAAACATATGTTCCTATAGGGAACGCAATACTATTAATGAACTTGTAAGTCACTCTTTTCCAAGCTTTCGGGCTTATATATAGCCCTTCGTCAGGGATTAAATGTCACTGGACCTCTATGTCACATTCATCTTGACAAACATGTTGAGTAACTATGACATAGTTATAAGACTATAGATACTGTTAAGAATTACCAGAACTTATAATTGTATTACATCAATTCTGTAAAATGGTTATATAACCTCCAATTACTCCTGAGTTTTGACCCAAAAAAAGTCTTCGGAATGACCTGAGTGTATATAATAAAAGAGAGAGACATCCAGATCAAATCACAGCTACATCTTTTATAAAAAATGATAACCAGTGCTCAAAGGATAAGTTGGTAAAAAACATCACGGTAAATGGGGAAGTAACTGAAAAACAAGTCATGATTGTCTTCATGGTACAGTTCTTATTGATAACAGATAATTAATGGATTTGAAGTACAGGCTATATTTACTCTTGTATTCATTAAAATAATTAAAACACTAACAGTTTCTTTTTCACTATTTTTATTTTTAATTGATCAAGCACCAAATTATTGTAACATATATATGACGTGTGAACATTGATTTCCATACAGGCTGACAGCTGGCCAGTACTGAAGGTATATTTGTGTCTATATATACCTACCAGTGTTACATGCCTACCTATAGTCTACCTAAATCCCTATTGTACCTGATATTTGTCATCGTGATAACATTACGTAGTCTGCCTAATTCTATGTCCTTGTGGATATATATGCTTGTTAAATATGTGTAGTTTTACATCTGACTGTAGAATTCTGTAGTCAATTTTTAACCTGTCACTCAGTAAACCTGCAGATTTATACCCATCTAAGTTCTCCTTAGTCATTGTCAACACACGTACTGCTTGCACTATTTGTCTGAATTTACAATATTTGCATGTATAGAATAAGTATGGTCAATATTTGCACATGCATTAATTTACACCTAGTTTGAACCTTTTGCATGAATACCTATACCCTGAATCACCCAGTGTGTTCTTTCCTAAAGTATATCTATCCCTTCAATGGAATATAGGCTGTATTTTGATTAAAATAAATTCGTTTATAACTTGGGCAAGATAATATTGACCAACAGAGGCTATTTTACTGATCAGTTGAATTAAGGCCTCGGTGAATAATGAATATGACTTTAACTTTTTATTTTTCAGTAATACCAATTGGTCCCTTTGTCATTTTTAGCTCACCTGGCACAAAGTGCCAAGTGAGCTTATGCCGTGGTGCGACGTCCGTCGTCCGTCCGTCGTCCGTCCGCCCGTCTGTCCGGCGTCCGGCGTCAATATTTTACTTTAAACGACTTCTTCTTAATAACCGAAAGGCCTAGGGTGATGATATTTGGCCAGAAGCAAACTGGGATGAATGGCTACCAAGTTTGTTCAAATAAATGACCTTCATTTATTTTCAAGGTCACAGGGGTCAAATATGTTAAAAACTTTAAACAACTTCTTCTCGATAACCAAAATGCCCTGGGTGATAATATTTAGTCAGTAGCATACTAGGATCAAGGGCTACCAAGTTTGTTTAAATGTATGACCTTTAATCATATTCAAGGTCACAAGGAGCAAATATGTTAAAAACTTTAAACAACTTCTTCTGAATAACCAAAATGCCCAGGGTGATGATATTTAGTCAGTAGCATACTAGGATCAAGGGCTACCAAGTTTGTTTAAATGTATGACCTTGAATCATATTCAAGGTCACAAGGAGCAAATATGTTTAAAATATTTCAACAACTTGTTCTGAATAACCAAACGGCTCAGGATGTTGATATTTAGTTAGTAGCATATGCTGGGATCAAGGACTACTATGTTTGTTAAAGTGAATGACTTTGACTTATATTCAAGGTCACAGCCGGGGTCAAATTTGTTTAAAATCTTTAAACAACCTCATATGAATAACCATGGGTCCCAGGATGTTTATACTTTGCAAATTGCATCCTGAGATGAAAGGCTATACAATGTGTTCAACATAATGACTTTGATCGACTTTCAATCACAGGGGTGAGATGTTTATAAAAAAAATTAACAGGGTCTTTTGAACGAATTTATAAATACTGCTATTTTGCCTGTAGCTTTATTTTAGATCACTTTTAAGGTTACAAGTGTGAGTTTTATACCAGGTGAGCGATGCAGGCCCATTGGGCCTCTTGTTCATTCTGTGTTATCCTCGAAATCTAAGGGCTCTGCTGTTGATACCATCAGATATCTTCTCTGCTTCCCTGGAAAATATATCATGACAAAACGGAAGGTTGTTTATGCAACATGTTGCGGATGATACAAGTATACTAATCTGATGTCATTGATGAAGATCAGTTTAGGAATCATTTAGCAGCATATACAGTGGTCCAATCAACAGGCTTTGTACTCTTCAAACAGGTGTCAGTCAAGAGATTGGTCCGGTTTTTATATCTGAAACCAATCAAATAGCCTACCGGGAGGATTGGATTTTGTCAGGACATATTCAGGGGGTGCCAAGAAGATCTATAATGTATTGAGAGCGGGCCCATGAATTTTGAGGATGACATGTTAGAACACTATTGATAATTATTACTGCAATCTTGTTCTTGAAGTTGGTCTCACTATTAAGTTAATTATTATTAATGGTAGACTCCAGTAAGAGTTTCTGTTATGATAAAGATGATGAGTTCTGGTATTACATTATTATCCTTATTAAATATGTATCAGTAATCACCTTTCTCCTCCGTCGATGTGTACACTGTAACTGTGTTTAAGAAACATTGCTTCACCCTCTATACTACAATGTACTATAATGTGATAATGATGTAATCTTCTCATTTGTTGGAAAATTACCCTTTTAAAGCTTTCCTAATTAGCTATCAATATTATAATTCCCCATAAAACAATGTTTAGTTAGTGTTTTGTGACGGTAAGTGTTGTAGAATAGTTGTTTGGGACCGGAAGTAGATATTAAAGTCACTGTGGTTAATCTGTTTTAGTTTACTCAATACTTGCATGGCTGAAAATGTGGTGTTTTATATAAATTCATGTCTGTCCTTTTCTGAGAAAAAGGGAAATTAATATTGATATCTACATGTAGGTGACGGTATGACCTTGTATATCTATACTGTATCCGGTGTCAGATTAACAAGACCTGTTAAATATCAGTATCGTACATATACTCCTCCAAAATAAAGTTATATTTACTTTATAATTCTCAGATTTAGATAGATGCAGACTCAATGGAGTGTATACGTTTCCAATATCTGTTCACTCATTTTCTAGATTACTAGTATAATCTATATTGTATATTTTGGTTTGAAAATCTTCGTTTTTCACTGATGTAACACATAGTGAAGGTCATAACTTGGTATTCTAAATAAAAAAACAACTTGTTTTTAAAATCCAATGATTTGATCAGGAGTGTTTTAAATCTTTGTCTTTGATATGACCTAAATCTTCTTTTGTTAAATTGGTGAACATTGTTTTAATCCTTTTTATGGTTGTTTACAGAAAAAGCGTGCTGTGACATCACCTACCTATAGTATGTACAACCGCCGTACTCCTTATTCCAGTATCGGTAATTCCGCCCACGACAGAACAGCTTTTGAAACAGATGGGTAGGTACAAAGACAAGTCTTGCATGTTTTTGTTTCAGATTTAATAGAGTATGTGAGTACAAACAGTTATAATTGGCAAGATTTTAGGAAAAAACTTTGTATGCAAAACTTTTGAAGGTATAATGTACAATTAAAAAAATAAATGTTGAAAATCTTCAGATCAGATTTTTTCTAGCACATTTGTGTGAAAGATTGTTCAGGAGGTACTTGTTTGAAATGTTACGTTTTCTTAATTGTTTGCATTTAATCAGACTCTTGTGAGTTACCTTCAATTTCCTATAAATTCCCCCAATAAATCTGGGTTTTTTTGTGCCACTATAGATTATCCTAATAAATTCCATTGTATTGCTGTAGTTTTGGCACTGGTCATATTTCGAACAAAAAGGGAAATGTGAAAAAGAAATTCAGTGAATGACATTATTTTTACGTACTTATAATGTACAATGTAGTTTATTTTTACATACTTATAATGTATATGATATATTTAACTATTGAATGAAAATCTAGACACATGCACTGTTGATGATCTGTGTATATTAAACATTTAACTGGTGTGTTTTGTATTTGAAGTGTTTTTAAATGGTGAAGGGAAAATCAAAATTAAAGTGAAATTAAATTAGAAAATATATCACAATATGAATGCACTACGATACTAGCATAAAGGAGAGTTTGTAGTAGGAGTTATTTCCCTTTGACTAGGTTTACTCAGTAATGAGAGTTTGTAGTAAGAGTTATTTCCCTTTGACTTGGTTGTACTCAGTAATGAGAGTTTGTAGTAAGAGTTATTTCCCTTTGACTAGGTTGTACTTAGTAATGCTGTTTTAAACATAGGGATCCTGTAAAGTCAGTTTGATTAATTTGATCATTATGTATATATTTATATATATATATACAGCATGTATTCATGAAGTGATTTGTAATTTTTTCAAAAAATATTTCAAAGCATAAAATATTTGATTGATATTTGCAATCTATTTTAAATTCTACAATTGTCTTTGCTTCGATCATCATATTAAAAAATGACTGCGGTAATTACAGTCTGTAGTTAGGGTAAACGTGACATTGTTGTGTGTGATGCTTCTGTTCTCTAACGGTGATGGGATGTTGTACAATTATGTTGTTATGTTGTTATGTTGCTTTGCTGTGTAGAATTGATGATTTGCTTGATCTCCCCCGTGATATCCTGGTCAAGGTGTTGGATCACGCCAAACAGAGGTGAGTCCTAGAGGAGGTACTCCTACAACTAAATACAACATGTTATCAATACTTCTGGTCCCTCAGGCTGATACGGAGGTCTGAGGTTGATACAGGTTACAATATAGAAATGGTTATATGATAGCCCACAACATTCATTATAATATTCTCTTGACATTTTGAAGTGATAACAAGACCAAGTTGGACATTTATGGCACATTAACTATGGTCATTAAATTCTTGTAAACACCCAAAAGATATGTCAAACAACAGTTCATTGATAGTTAATAGTTTAATTGTTGCCTGAATAGCACCATGAAGGAAGTATGGTTTTGATTTTTTTTTAATTTGCTAGGGATTTAATTTTTAACTGTAGAGACGTTAAGATTTTCATTGTGGCAATAGAAGTGATATGACTACATTACAAGATCTACTTCATTTCAATCGTGTAACAGTATAAACAAGGGTCAACACATTAGTTGCCTCTTAATATTCTTTCCCACACCTGTAAGAGAAATTTAGGTCATGCATAAATTATAAACATAAATCATTATGTCTAATGATGTATAAACATAAGCCATTACTTTTAGATAAGTTATGAAACATTAACATTTGCAGTTATACTTGAGGTTCAGTGATTTATACCTGGTAGTCTTAGTGAATTGTTGATTTTATGTAAATATCGATGGACAAAGCTTTGACACTTTGATCAGTGTCAAATTTTGACCCTGATCAGATAAACTAAATGGCCGACAGGCATCCATCTTGGATTTGAAGGTTTGTTATCGCTATTTCACAGAAAGTACTAGATAGATCTTTCTCAAGTTTGATATGTAAGTTCCCTTGGTCTGTACTTGTGTATGTTAACTTCTGAGACTGATCGGTTAAGCAAAATTACTGACAAGTAGCCATCTTGGATTTTGACAGTATATTTGTTATTACTATTTCACAGGAAGTGATGGAGGGATCTTTCTGGAATTCATACATGCTATAACTTTCCGGTGCAAAATAGTGAGATCAGTGATTATTTTTAGTGAGATTTGGTCAAAAATGGTGAGATAATTTCTCTGAATTCGTGAGAAATTCGTGAGTCATTTAAAACATATATTATATATAGCGTGAAAATGGGTTCCCACGCCGTGAGACATTTGGAAGGCTGTTTTTCGTGAGTCTCACGCCTAAATCGTGAGATATGGCATGTATGCAAATGTAGGTTCCCCTTGGGTTTTTTTGTGCTTGAAGAATTTGGCTTACTGGTGGCTATCTTGTTTTTTTACAGTGAATTTTTGTTATCATTATTTCCCAGAAAGCACTTGATGGATTTTTCTAGAATTTGTTATGTAGGTTCCCCTTGGTCATTTATTGTGCATGTTTACTTTTGTGACTGATGAAATAAACAAAATTGTTGACAGATGGCCATCTTGGATTTTGACAGGTAAAGTTTGTTATTGCTAATTCTCAGAAAGTACTCAAAGGATATTGCAATGATCGCTCTTATTTCTTTCACATACTGTACTAGTAAATATGTGAAACTACAAACTCATATGAAAGGTTGTCTTTTATATACATCAGAATGAAGTTTAGATCAAAAGTAACCTCAAGGTGCATTTACTGTTAACATGACTTGATCAAACAGATGAGAGAAAAGAAGCGAAAAGATCGAACTGACAAAGAACTAATAAAGATGGTACAATGGTGGGGGCCAAGATCCCTCTGGGATCTCTTGTTCTGGAAGTTATTAAAGATTATGTCACAGCAAAAAGATATTGATTGATAAATGCTGATCCCACTTTAGATCTGTATACAGGAGGTGAGAAATTGTGTTGGATGTTCGTATACCACAGGAACAGGCTGATTGTGTAGATCTAATCTGAGTGTATTATACTCAGGGGTACATGTAAGACAGCCAGCCTTCCCTATTCTCCTCTCACTGCTACCTCAGCTGTGGTTCATGGTTTCCTGAGTTATGTTTCCTCTGTGTGGCACCATGGTGGTTTTGTTTGTCGCCATGTTGGTACTTGTTATAAATAATAATGATAATATAATAATATACAACAATTGATATAGGACCCTATCTAGCTAGCATAAGCCACTCTAAAGTGCTTTACAGTTCATAGATATACAATTTATACAATCAATACATTTAACATATCAACATTAATCAATACAATTTTGAGGATTTCGCAGGAGCTGCCTTATCAGGTGCTAACTACTAGTCCTATGCCACCTGGCTAATATTTCCCTATGTGTGTATGCCTGTGTGTGTGCCAGAGATGTATTGTGTTCAGTTTGTAGTGGGACTGTGCTTCCAATGGTATATCATTTATAGTGCCACCTCACTTGAATGCTACAGCACAGATACCGCAACATCTGCCTAGACCATTTTATACTCCACCTGGGTTGATGGAGTTGTGTGGGCAGGAGAAAAACACTTTCTCTGAATATTCCATATGTACGACGACTTCGCCTGCGTGGAAGGCTGGAGTGATAACCACTCGACCAATTTGCCCAAAAATCAATAAATCAAATTTTTCCATTTGTTTTTATCACATTACCAAGAGAAGTTGTATATGAATATTTGTGAAAATGGCCCTGACCGTTATCAAAGGTCTTCAATACCAACATTTTTTCATCTTTTCTGGCAAAGCGATGTAAAATACAGGATCGCGAGTTTCCCCTGAATACAACACTCACAAATTACTGGATGGTGGTCGACCCTGCCAAGTCCCTTTCTCATTAAATCACACTATTACTGCCCATTATATATTCCCATCTGAGATGAACTCCTCACTGTTGCTGCTGAAGTCTCCTGAATATGCTTGTTCACACCATATCTCATCCAAGCGTAAACAATTTTTAACTGCTTGTCTGAAATTGCCTGCCCAAAAGTTTCAAAATCCTTCAGGCTACCTGTGGCCTCTAAAAGTTTTTAAATGCAGCTTCTTCTCTGGAACTTTATACCTGTTTCAGGCTTTTGGAATATTTTTCCTTTTTTGTGACACCAGTTCATCTTTGTTCAGCAGGTGATACCTGCTACAAGGTGCTATATTATACACAAGGCACTATATTATACACAAGGCGCTATATTATACACTAGGCGCTATACAAGGCGCTATATTATACACAAGGCGCTATATTATACACAAGGCGCTATATTATACACTAGGCGCTATACAAGGCGCTATATTATACACAAGGCACTATATTATACACAAGGCGCTATATTATACGCAAGGCGCTATATTATACACAAGGCGCTATATTATACACGCTATATTATACACAAGGCGCTATATTATACACAAGGTGCTATATTATACACAAGGTGCTATATTATACACAAGGCGCTATATTATACACAATGCGCTATATTATACACAAGGCGCTATATTATACACTAGGCGCTATATTATACACAAGGCGCTATATTATACACTAGGCGCTATATTATACACAAGGCGCTATATTATACACAAGGCGCTATATTATACACAAGGCGCTATATTATACACAAGGCGCTATATTATACACAAGGCGCTATATTATACACAAGGCGCTATATTATACACAAGGCGCTATATTATACACAAGGCGCTATATTATACACAAGGCGCTATATTATACACAAGGCGCTATATTATACACAAGGCGCTATATTATACACAAGGTGCTATATTATACACAAGGCGCTATATTATACACAAGGTGCTATATTATACACTAGGCGCTATATTATACACAATGCGCTATATTATACACAAGGCGCTATATTATACACAAGGCGCTATATTATACACTAGGCGCTATATTATACACAAGGCGCTATATTATACACTAGGCGCTATATTATACACAAGGCGCTATATTATACACAAGGCGCTATATTATACACAAGGCGCTATATTATACACAAGGCGCTATATTATACACAAGGCGCTATATTATACACAAGGCGCTATATTATACACAAGGCGCTATATTATACACAAGGTGCTATATTATACACAAGGTGCTCTATTATACACAAGGCGCTATATTATACACAAGGCGCTATATTATACACACTTGATTGGAAAGCCTTGGTGTTAAACACAGGTATCGGAAAGGAGACGATTTATGATGTTTAGCGGGAAACATACGTCTGTTAAAACAGTGACCACAATGTATATGGTTTATTAGCCAGGCAACTGGTAGAAATACGAATCATTGGTGTATGTTGTACATGATATGCATTACTTACATCCTTATTTAATCTCTGACTAAACCATTCAATCAGTACTGTTAAGGATATGCATCATTGCGATACATTTAGGGTGTCGTAATTATAATAACCTTGGTCTGTTCAAAATATCTAACAACATTTTTTGACATTCAGTTTATTATCGGATGATATAATAGTCATTTTTTTTTATTGGAAGATTTCCCTTTCTCTCCTACAGATGTAATGTGATGAAGTTTATATGAGATTTCCCTTACCCTACTAATGTCATAACGTTACAGGAGGATTTCTTGTGAGTGGTAGAATACCTCGTGCCATGGTGACCATGTGACCTTTGTCGGGCGACTTTATCTGTGTAAATTGCAATATGGAGACACATCAGAAATTTACTATGGCCCCCATGGTACCATCACACATATGTACTATATGTCTAGCTCTGCTTATATATCAAGTTGGTATTTCATTCTGCACAGAACATTGGAGTTTAAGGGTCTGCTTATAAATTATTTCATGAAAAGTTTTCTGTATGATTTTTCGCAGGCAAGCATCAAAGTGAATTACCGAAACTTGGTTCATCCATGTATTAGTCTTAAACGTAGACCTAGAGGTGATCTGTTTTTATGTTGATGATTTGAACAGAAGCATCCTTTGGCAGAGCCATTGAAGATCACTTTGGTATTTCTTTTATTTGACACATATGCAGTGCTGACTGAATGTGGTATTGTTGATTTTATTTGTTAGTGATACAGTCTCACTACAAAATACAAATTAAGTTTTAGCTACTATGGGAGGGTGGAAGTAT